AAATATGTATGTAAACATTTCAAATTAGAAAAAAATTTAAAAATAACTCAACATAACGTAATATAACTTAACACAAATCAGCATGTGAGTATTTCAAATAAAAAATTTATAAAATAACAAAGCAAAAGATAACGTGACATGGCACAACGTATCATGACGTACGAAGCCATAATACAAAATAACATAACATAACAAAGTAACCGCACAACACAGCACAGTCAATAAATAAAGGTCTCTACATACGCCAATAGCTGAAATATTATATGTACGTCATTACGTGCTTACGTAATTTATTTGTTCCGTTATTAAGGCTCATACAACTCGACCACATAAACAACCCCCCTTCCATATATTTTATGACTGCGCTAATATATTATAACATTGAATTAAGTTAGTTTCAGTTTCCCAGGGCGTCATTATCTTTGTGATTATAACAAGCTGTATTGACATGAGCGTCGCTGCCAAGAAGTCTTGGGGAGAAAAACAACAATAAACATACAGGGCGCTGATAAGCCGCCGTGTTTAGCGCGTCGATACTACAAGTGTGAGCGGTGGATAGTGGGCAGGGCCGCTTAATGTGCCATAGATGGGTCGGAGGAGAGGAAACGTTTGTGATAATTGTAGAAAAATTTTGCGAAAAATTCCAATAATACAACACCACACCAATAAAGAATCTAGCAGCAGTTGAGCAGTGTGTCATTGATAGGAGACGCGCGTTTGACGGCATATATTATATTTGCCATCTGGAATATTAACAAATATATGAATGAAAGTGATTAACGAAAGCGCCGATGAAGTCTAAGTGAGGTAAAGAATATAAATAGTTCACGTATAGTACAGTATGAGCCTACAATATGCAGGATGACTGAAGGAAATTCGAGGAGATAATCTTCGGAAAGAACTTTTGTCCCAGATATATATTACCATATGTAAGGTTCTTGGTATAATTTCGGGTAGCTGCAGCCAGGAGAAGAAGTTTCATTAACTATTAGACTCCTGACAAACTCTTGAATATTATATAGTGATCTCCTCAGGATTCTCTGAGCTCTGAACTCCCTGAAATAAATTTCAGAAAAGACATCCACCTAAGTGTTGGACAAAATTCAGCACAAGAATCAAGAGAGAAACAAAGATTTGTTCCACAAAGGAATAGTCTATAAAGCTGTACTGACTGCGAAGTTTCTTTGTATCCAAAGTAGAGTAGATAGTAAGATGTCGTCTACCGACGAACTGCCTATATTATAAAAATGTTGTACATGATTTCAGAAACGGTCTATACCAAGTTTTGCGGCCACAACCTGTCGTGTCTAGTACAACTTCAATCCGTTACGAATACAGAAACATGCAAGAGATCAAATTTGCTTAATATCGGCTCAAAATGGCTAAAGTTTGTATCAAATAAGATAAAGATGAGCGAAAGAAGAGTGCATGTCGCACAAAAAAGTTTTGATGACGTGAAAAGAAGATTGATGACCTGAAGATATGATTCGAATTAGCTTACTGCAAGCAATATACTTATCACTAAAGAAAAAACTAAACTTTCACACTAATGTTTGCTCTGCGCTGATGTGTCAGTTTTCAACTTCAGTTTACACCACCAAGCTTTCCGACGACGATACTTGCCTGGCAGTCTTTACGTCATATCTTATACTTTTCATAATTGCACTAACTTCTCTTGACCCTCTGTGCGCCACCGCTCCAACAGCTATTTTATTGCCCAACATCATTATATACCTCGTGCGTCAATAACGCAACCCGTCGTCCTTGATCGCCACAAGATTCGCATCGTAAAATGTATGAAAGAAAGAGCCGCAGCGTCGACAGTATTCGCCAAAACATTTTGCACACATTGTTCTTTAATAGAAATAAATTCTTTGCGATTTTACAATTTCCTGCTGGCCGCGACCATCAACGCTGCAGTTGTTGGTTTACCACGACTGCGTTGTATTGTTGGCGTCTGGCAACGGGAAGCGTTGGCGCCATTTTTATTAGGCAACAAAACCGAAATTAGCAAAAACAAACAAATGTGTAAACAGTTGCACACACATACTAACGTACGTTACGCGCTGTGTCTGTGTATTAGTGTGAGCGCAACAATGGCACAGTCGTCGTTTCAAAATGTTTACGCTTGTTTGGCTGACTTTTTGTATGATTTTTCGCGATCATCAACATTGCAACACTGTCATTGCTATTGTTTTTGTTGCAACAATTGCTTGTTTTTGTTTTGCTATTGCACGCTCGTCTTATGCAGATGCGCAGCTGTGGCAACTGCGCGCCTAGATATTTTCCCGTGTTTGCCCATTTCGCTGCGATTTGCATGTGCGCTCGGCCACTTCCGTCATGCGATTGCGCTCGGCGCACACCTCGCCACGACCACCAACCTGCCAGTCGGCCAGCCACGCTTTGGCAATTTAAATTCTCGCTTGTTATTTACAATTTTTGGTATGTTGCGCGCATGTTGAAGCCGCTGCTGCTACGCCAACCCATGGCCGCGGCGCGTCTATACATAAATTTCAGCTATTTTCCATGCTTTTGTTATCATTGTTGTTGGGTGCTTGTCGTTTTTTCGGCATTTTTGCATAGTCATCGCATTTAATTGCCACATTAAAAATGTAAACATTGAGTTGCTGTTGGTGCTGCCGCGACTGCCACCAAAAATGGATGCGCGCAACAGCATGTTGTGAAGCGGGTCGTGGGTAGCGCGCTAAAAGCATTTGAACGCGCTTCCGCATAGCTAATTTCAGCCAGTTAGGTTTGATTTCAGACTTACTCATATACTTGGCAAGCCAAGTAGTTGCAACGAAATATTTAAAATCACATTTTGCGGTGTGCAACCCTTTCGCCTTTGAAAAAAATAAATTTCATAAATTTCTTTTATGCTCAACTTCACTTGTTTGCGTACGTGCCGACCTTTGCCTGCTGCTGACCCTGCAATATCCGGTTATTTGCCAGCCTCAAAGCTCAACTCTACGCCGAGCTATGTGCTGACGACGTTTGGCTCAGCTCAGTGTTGACGTGCGAGGCGAAAAGTTCAGCTACTTCACCTCAAAACCTATTTTCAACACAAATATTGCAAGATTGTAGCTTGTCATCTGAGAAATTAAATACAGTTATGGTGCTCCACAAAAGAAATCTTAATGTGATCAAAAGTTAATATAACCCACTAGATACCGTTAGTTAGGCCGATATTGAGAGTGAACTTAGCTATGTAAATACAGCACCAGAGTTCTCTCAGCTATACCTGAGTATTAGATGGCCGAAGAAGCTGCGCCTTCGCACACACACACACACAATTGAAAGAGTATCCCGAAACCTCCTTTGTATAGGCACAAAAGCTGTAGCAAAGAGGTCTTGCTTCAAGGCTAATATGTCCCAAACCTTATCTGGCGTACGATTCGAATAGAGTCAATAGCAAACCAAGGTCAAATTTGGAAGCTGACAGAAACTATAGAAGCGACGTTGTAGACTACTAGCTATAAGGGGATAGATAAGTTCCACAGTCATCTCTAGTTGCACTCTTCTTAACCCCGAAACTAATAATAGTATTGTTCAGATTTTAAGAAACCCTTGTAGCCTCTATATCTTTGTAGCCGAAATTCTTTTTTATGCAAAACTAAATCTAGAAGTTGAACTTCCATATTTCTTTGGTCACGCTTGCCTCCGCCAAGCGTGGTACTTTGCAACGGGCCGCGTTGCTAGCCAAACACCACTATATGTCCAGCGCCTGGCCGCGCGTTTTCCATATGCCGTTGTTACAGAAAAATTATGGCAATTTCAGCGCAAAAAGTAATTTGCAATCTGTCGGGTTTTGCTATAAAAATTGAGTAGCGGCAACGAGTGATGCGCACAGTTTCTTTCATTCTTTGGCTGTTTGCGCCTTTTTTCATGGCATGTTTCCATTTAACCATTCAATTTTTATTTTTGTTTTCGCTTAATTTCAGCGCGCGTTTTCTTTGACCATATGCGTTCGTGCAGCTCGCCGGTGATTTGTTATTGCTGCCATAGCCACAGTAAATGGTTATTTTTTATTAGCAATTTTTTCATGCCAACCACTCTTGCAATTGTCTGCGTAGCGCTGGGCGTTGTACGCGCGCTTATGTTGTTATACCGAAACATTCCAAACAAGTGAATTTATAAGCATAAACGTGACTCAACCGTTGCGTGGCGCGGCTGTCGGCCGCTGCTTTGCTGTGTATGTGTGGGGCGAAGACCATTGCGAATGCTTGTAATGGTGATTATGATATTGATAATGTCGGTAGGAGATAATTTCGCAGCCGCTGATGGTTTTACTGCTGATAGGTTTTGTGGCTGCGTCGCGTACGAATATCTGCGTTGCAGTTTTTTCGCTCTTTTTGCTATTTACCATGCAAACACTTACATATTTCTTTTGGCGAGCATTCGATTAGTGTTAAGACTTTTTAACGCTGCTTACGCGTTTAGTTACGCCCAGCCTATTTGTGATGGCTGTTAAGTGCCACTGTGTTACAAAAATATCTACAACTTGTTAATCTGCATGGCGTGCGCTGCATGCGCTGAGCCTTCAGCACAGTCACCATGCCGCTTTGCTCAGCTGCGCTTATTTCCTTTACATATTGCATGCGCTGGTACGCACTGTGCGTCCAGCTGAGATTTTTTTGCTGCGCTCGCGCATTTACTGTGTTGGAATGTGGCTAAATGCCTAAGCGTGCACCTAATCGCTGCACATTTTCCCATCATAAAAATTGCTCATGGATCCGCGCGGTCTCTGAAGCAGGTTTATGCGACCACATGTACGATTTCTCAAGTTATTATAGTTGCGCAACATAACTAGCGTACGCAACAACAACTAACTAACTCAACCATCTTTCTTTTTCTACTTGCAGAATGAGCCCGAATGCACACCGGCTGTCTCTTATACACATCTAGATGTGTATAAGAGACAGTTATTATAGTTGCGCAACATAACTAGCGTACGCAACAACAACTAACTAACTCAACCATCTTTCTTTTTCTACTTGCAGAATGAGCCCGAATGCACACCGGAGCTGCCGGCGGCCAACCGCGCACTATTTCTGGAGAAGGTGCGCCAATCGAACGCCGCCTGCCAGAGTGGCGACTTTGTCACTGCCGTCATGCTCTATACGGACGCGTTGCAGCTCGATCCCGGCAACTATATACTCTACAGCAATCGTTCAGCGGCACGCCTCAAGCAGGGTCAGTTCGCGCTCGCACTACAGGACGCCACAAAGGCACGCGAATTGTGTCCGCAATGGCCGAAGGCGTACTTTCGGCAAGGTGTCGCACTGCAGTGTCTCGGCCGTTATGGTGAGGCGTTAGCTTCATTTAGCGCTGGTCTGGCGCAAGATACACAACACAAGCAGCTGCTGGCTGGGCTGATGGAGGCGTCGGTGAAGAGTCCCCTGCGTCATGCGCTGGAGCCCACATTTCAACAACTGCGCGCCATGAATCTAGACCAGTCACCATTTGTGGTGATATCCGTAGTGGGACAGGAGCTGCTACAGGCTGGCCAATATCATTCTGCAGTCACGGTGTTGGAAGCGGCTTTGCGTATTGGTTCCTGCTCCCTAAAATTACGAGGCTCTGTCTTCAGCGCCTTAAGTTCGGCACATTGGGCGCTTAATCAGTTAGATAAGGCCATTGGTTATATGCAGCAGGACTTAGCAGTGGCTAAAAGTCTTGGCGATACGGCGGGCGAGTGTCGTGCACATGGTAATCTTGGTTCGGCTTACTTTAGTCAAGGTTCATATAAAGAAGCGCTCACGGCACATCGTTACCAACTTGTGCTCGCGATGAAGTGTAAGGATACGCAAGCCGCCGCTACAGCGCTCACTTCATTAGGACATGTTTACACAGCTATTGGTGATTACCCCAATGCCTTGGCCAGCCACAAACAATGCGTGCAACTGGTGAAGCAGATCGGCGATCGCTTGCAAGAGGCACGTGAGATCGGCAATGTCGGCGCCGTTTACCTAGCAATGGGTGAATTCGATTCGGCCGTTGATTGTCATACACAACATTTACGGCTGGCGCGCAAGTTAGGCAATCAAGTTGAAGAGGCGCGCGCTTACTCGAATCTCGGCTCAAGTCATCACTATCGGCGCAACTTCGCGCAAGCAATAACTTTTCATGAACAAGTGTTACGTATCTCCAAGCAGCTAGGTGACCGTAATATTGAGGCGCGTGCATATGCTGGGCTGGGACACGCGGCACGTTGCGCTGGTGACTGCGTGCAAGCGAAGAAATGGCATGAGAAGCAACTAGAAATGGCGCTGGCTGCACGAGACAAAGTGGGTGAAGGTCGCGCTTGTTCCAATTTGGGTATTGTCTATCAACTACTCGGCGAACACGATGCCGCGCTTAAGTTACATCAGGCTCACCTAACTATCGCGCGGCAGTTACACGACCGCGCGGGTATGGGTCGCGCTTATGGCAATATTGGCAATGCCTATTCAGCCGCTGGACTCTATGAGGCGGCCATTAAATATCACAAACAGGAATTGACGATCAGTAAGGAGGTTCACGATCGAAGCGCTGAAGCATCCACACATGGAAATCTCGCAGTTGCGTACCAGGCTTTGGGAGCGCACGATATGGCGCTTATGCATTACCGCGCTCATTTGAATATTGCGCGCGAACTTAAGGACACGGCTGGTGAAGCCTGCGCTCTACTAAATCTAGGCAATTGCTTCAGCTCACGCCAAGAGTTTGCTCAGGCGGTGCCCTACTACGAACAGTATTTGATGCTTTCACAGGAACTGGGCGATGTGGCAGCTGAGGGTAAAGCATGTCATTTTCTGGGTTATGTCCACTACTGCATTGGTAATTATCGTGAAGCGGTGCGGTACTACGACCAAGACTTAGCATTGGCGAAAGATTTGCAAGACAAGATAAATATGGGGCGCGCTTACTGTAATTTGGGTCTAGCGCATTTGGCTTTGAGCAATACGCAAGCTGCTTTGGAGTGTCAAAAGTATTTCCTCGCTGTGGCGCATATGACAAATCATCTGCCAGGCAAGTTTCGTGCGCTCGGCAATATCGGTGACATATTAGTGCGCACGGCTGAGTATGAGGAGGCAGTTAAAATGTATCAACGCCAACTTACACTTGCGCGACATGCACGCGAACGACCGCTTGAGGCCGCAGCTTGCGGTGCGCTCGGCTTAGCACATCGTCTCATAAAGAAATTCGATAAAGCGCTCGGCTATCACACACAGGAGTTGGCGCTAAGGCAGGAGATGTCCGATTTACCTGGTGAGTGCAAAGCGCATGGTCACTTGGGCGCCGTTCACATGGCTTTGGGGAACTACCAACACGCGGTCAAGTGTTATCAACAACAACTGGGACGTGCACAAGAACTGCAGGACTCCGGTATCGAAGCACAGTCTTTCGGCAATCTGGGCATCGCCAAACTTAACATGGGTCTATACGAAGATGCCATCGGTTATTTGGAGCAGCAATTAGGCACCCTGGAACGCGTTAATATGCCAACTACGCAGCATGATCGCGCGCGTGCACTTGGTCATCTGGGCGATTGCTATGATGCCTTAGGGGACTTTGAAGAAGGCATTAAGTGCCATGAACGTCATTTACAACTTGCTACTGCCCTGCAAAGCTATCGCGATCAGGAACGCGCCTACCGTGGTCTGGGTCACAGCCATCGCGCGCTTGGTAATTTGCAAGAAGCACTCGTTTGTTTAGAGAAACGGTTGGTTGTCGCGCACGAACTCGGTAGTCCTGAAGTGAAAGCAGTTGCGTACGGAGATTTAGGAAATATACACTCGGCGCTAGGTAACTACGAACAAGCTGTCAACTGTTTGGAGCATCAACAAGAAATCGCGCGTGAGTTGGGCGATCGCGCTTTAGTTTCGGATGCCACTAGCGCCTTGGGTAATGTCTATCAACGTATGAGCGATGCCGATGGCGCATTACGTTTGCATAAAATGGATTTGGAAATGTGTGAACACTTGGGCGCTGGTGCGTTACAAGCGCGCGCTTGTGGAAACTTGGGCGCAGTTTACGAATCCATACGTAGCTTTGTCGATGCAGTGAAATTCTATGAAAAGCAATTGGCGCTGACAGCAGATAGGCTCAGCAAGGCATATGCTTGTGGTTCCCTCGGTGCGTACCTTTTTAAACTTTATTAATATCATGAAATCTTTTCCGAATAACCGCTATTCACATAGGTCGCGTTTTTCATCAAATGGGTCAGCATCCGCAAGCCATTAATTTTCTGCGACAAGGTCTGTCGATAGCACAATCGATCAACAAATCGGAAGAGGAGGCCAAAATAAGATATCAACTCGGTAAGTCAGGCGATCAAGTAAATAGTTAGTTTTAACTTCTTGGTTAACGCGGTTTCATTCCAGGTCTTGCTCTACGTGCTTCCGATGACAACGAAGACGCGCGCACACAAATGGAAACCGCTGCACAGCTGCTGGAGTCCGTGCGTTATGATCAGCGCAGTCCTGAAGGTCGCACAAGTCTTTTTGATCTGCAAACGTCTTGCTATCATATTCTACAACAAATACTTGTCGCAACTCAACGCAGTGAAGACGCCTTGGTAGCCGCAGAACGCTGCAAAGCACGCACCAGCCCAGACACGAACAGCATCTCTCGTAAAACAACCATTACTTGCAGTGAATCCATTTATGATATTGTTAATCGTACCAAGACCAACGTACTATACTTTAGTTTAGCCGGCGATGAACTCTACGCTTGGTTCCTCCAACCACAGAAGGGAATTGTACGTTTCCACGTAGTACACATTAATGAGGAGACTCTTAAGATATCTACTGAGAAGCTTACAGAACACTCAAAGAATGCACAACAAAAAGGTAGTCTCCTGGAGCGCTATATTAACATGGTGCGCGATAATTTGGGCGTCAACTCAGATAGTGTTTTGCTAGAAGGCGATGGTAGTGGGTGGCGATCGAGTTCTGAAAATCTACTTGATGATTTTGCCAACGAACGAAGTGGTTTCCTGCGTATGGTCAATCGTAACCACTTGATGAATTCGTCCAACTACTCCTTAAGTTCATTATTCAGTTTGGGCTCTGTGGGTGGTTCAGTGGCAAGTCTGCAAGGCTCTACACGCTCCGTAGGTAGTCTACAGGGCTCTACACGCTCGCGACGTGCACCTACTTTGCCCGCTTGGCAGGGTCCTACTTGCTTACATACACTCTATAATTTACTCTTGGAGCCATTCGACGACTTACTACCATCAGGTTGTTCAGTTTCACGACAAGGGCGAAAAGAGCTCATTTTGGTGTTGGAAAATGAACTTTACCTAGTGCCATTCGCCATATTACGCAGCTCCAAGGAAGATGGCGAATACTTATCGGAACGTTGTTCAATAATTACGATACCCTCGTTGCAATCGCTCCGTTTGAAGAGCAAAATTTTACGCACACGTGAACTTACGGAAAATCTAAGCACCGCCTTGGTAGTCGGCGGTCCACGTATACCTTCCGTACTATCCGAAACTTGGGGTTGGTCGGAATCACCTGCTTCGCTGCAAGAAGCCGCTATGGTTGCTGATATGCTACAAGCCAAGGCCATTGCGGGCTGCAATGCGACCAAAGAAGCAGTTATATCTGAGCTACCAACTGCAGAATGTGTACACTTTGCCGCTAACCTCAGCTGGAAACTGGGAGCGGTTGTGTTAAGCCCAGGCGATGTAGTGGATTCACAGACACAGAAACGTTATTATCAATCAACAGCTAGTGCTGGCGCACAGGAGGAGGAAACTAATGAACTATCTGGTGGCAATATAGAGTTGCCACAACTCTCCGACTTTATACTGTCCGCTGCAGATGTGCTCACTATGAAACTCAACGCTAAGTTGGTTGTGTTGAGCTCCTATCACTCGATTGAACCCATCACTGGTGCAGGTGTTGCCAATTTGGCGGGTAGCTGGTTATGTGCTGGTGCTGGAGCTGTACTTATATCTCTATGGCCAGTGCCCGAAACAGCTGCCAAAATATTATTGCGCGCGTTTTACTCCGCGCTCTTACAAGGTGCACGCGCTGCTAGGTAAGTTCCCTCTAGTATGGGTATAAACAGGAATAACACCCTCTGCTTTAATTTTTCACAGAGCTCTCGCCGAAGCCATGCAGACAGTCCAACATACTAAACATTTTGCTCATCCTGCCAACTGGGCTGGTTTCCTTCTAATCGGTGGTAATGTGCGACTTTCTAATAAAGTGGCCATGATGGGAAATGCATTGTGTGAACTAATGCGTACGCCTGATAAATGTCGCGATGCGCTACGTGTCTGCTTACACCTGGTTGAAAAGAGCTTACAACGCATACATCGGGGTCAAAAGAATGCAATGTACACAACACAGAAGAGCATTGAGAATAAGGCAGGACCAGTGGGCGGTTGGAAAGATCTTCTGATGGCAGTAGGCTTTCGCTTTGAGCCTGCTGCTAATGGCATACCATCAAGTGTTTTCTTCCCACAATCCGATCCGGAAGATCGTCTTTCACAATGCTCCGCTAGCCTACAAGCCTTGTTGGCACTGACGCCGCTTACTTTGCAAGCGTTGGCGAAGTTAGTCAATAGCGCCGATGTGGCAGATGATATCATTACACTTATAAGAAATGTTTTGGCGCAATTTCCACCCAAAGGTGCCGCTGAAACGGAGGCTTGCATAGAGATACCCTTGAGTGTGCGCTTGTGGCGCGTGGCAGGTTGTCACGAGCTTTTGGCATCCATTGGGTTCGATCTTACAGAGGTCGGTCAGGACCAAGTAACATTACGTACAGGCAAACAAGCGAACCGGCGAAACTGTCAATTTGTACTGCAAGCTTTGTTGGCGCTATTTGGTAAGTTAAGGCGTAGGAATCGCATACGATCTATTAAAATTATTATCTTTCTTTCGTTGTAGACACTCAAGAGGCACCGAAAAGCTTAGGATTGGACTCATCCAGCAGCTGTGAATCGCTCACTGATGAAACACAAGCCGAATTACAAGTATCTGTATCCAATCCAGCGCTCGCGCTAACATCAACACCTACAGCAACTACTTCCCACCTTTCGGCAGATTCCACCAAACCCATGGGACTGGGTTTGCAACTGCCACCACTTAATCGCACTCGCGTAATTAGCAGCAGCGGCAGCGCCTTTATATCGTATGTACGCCGACGTGGTGAACCCGATGGTGGACGCACTGACACAGAATCTATACCAAGCGCGCCAGACAGTGCTGGTTCAGCACTATATCCCACGCAGGATTCTAGCTTGGCCAACACTACTGACAGTGAACTATCAGATGGTTACATCTCGCAAGCGCATATTAATAAAACCACAGGACCTCGTTTAGGTTATTCCAGCTTACGTGCACCCGTACGCGTATCACGTCCTGGTGGTGGTGGTGAAAGTGATGCCGCATTTACTCCCAGCCCTCCCGTGACTACACAAAACCCAGTGGAGCAAAATGTATCTATGGCGTTAGCACACCAAACTCGTATACGTAATCTTTATTCAAGCGCAGGTATGAACTATTTAGGTGATAGTGTCATTCCAGAAATGAGTGTTGTGCCAAGTGGCATTTCTCGACGTCCAGACAGCTCCAGCTCGGCAAGTTCCACAACCGACTGGGAAATATCGGGGCATGCAACGGTCTTACGACGTAACAATCAACCACCTCCGCATCCTGGACATATGCCTCCACTGCCACCACCTAGACAAAACCTACCGTTGGTCGACAGTTTACGACCTGTGCCACCAATGGCGCCTGTCTACAATAACCTTGGACCCACTACATCGTTGGTCGGTCCCACCATGTTATCAGCTAACTTGGAATCTACAAGCTCTGAATCAGAAATTGAGCGTGGACTTGAGTTAACTCAGACGCCGATGTCACACTTCCGTCTTAAACCTAAAATAAAACTGGGTAACGCACAGTCATCAGTGGCTGCACGTCTTAGCAAAGAGCATGCGCTCTTCATGGATCGACTTAATATACGTACAGAAGCTCCTACGAATATGAATGCGAACCACCAAGGTGCTTCAGGCACAGCCAACGCACTTGCTGGTAGTCGCAAGCCTTTAAGTCTGCCCGAAGAAGACGATAATGCGCTTATTGTAAACGCATCCAACCTTTACTTCTCTCAAGCCGATACCGAGCTGCTAAACGAGGCAAAGAAAGACCTCAAATCAGTAGCCACAAATGCTACGACGGCAATAAGCAATCAAAGTGTTGCATCTAAAGATGCGAGCAAAGTGAATCAGAAGAGTATACAAGACTCAATAATGCGGCATATGAATCGTGAAACTCCCACCATCTCGGAGGTATACCATGAACGTAATCTGGGTCTAGGCCTAGCGCCACCACTCTCCAAATTACTGCTAAGCAAGAACTACGACGATGAGCCCAGTGTGAGTAGCAGCAGTAGCAAACTCAGCAATACTTGCACCATAAAAAGTATTGTTGATGCTGTCAATGAACTGGAACTCAGCGGCACCTCTTCCTCATCATCAGTGAGCACAGCTAATACGAAAACTATGAATATACCACCACACAACACAGCCAATAATAACACCAACCCGACTAATGCCAACAGCAACTGTGCCGCTATTAATACAAGCAGCAGCAACAACAATGGAAATGTGCACAATACCGTCGCAACCACAAAAGAGACTTGCTCCATTTGTGGTGAACCCGCAGACATCATTTGTCGTTGCAAAGCGGCCACGGTACAAAAGAAAGGCACGCTCAAACCCTGGCTAAGCAATGTGCCTTCGAGTATAGTGAAAGCCAGTGAACTCACCACCGCCGATATATTAGAACGACAGCATAAGATCAAAATGAATGTTGGCACGATCAAAACGAAAGCCGAAGTAGTCACAAATATGACTATGACAAATGTAAAACGCGCCAGCAGCCCCTTCAACGAGTTCTGCCGTCGGGATGAGGGTGATGGCAGATCCGTGGCAGACTCGCAATGCAGCAGTACGTACAAAACGGCGGCGGCGGTGTTAGGTAATAATGCTAATGGAAATGGTGGCACAGTGAGTAACAAAGAAAGTGCAAAAAGTACTACTCAAACCGGAGGCAGTGGTGTGCTGGGTAGAAAGATGTGAACAAGTATGAAAAATAAGGTCGCGTCTACTAAAGCGTAGATCAATAATTATCTAAGAAGTATTTTTAATCATAAATAAGATATTATTACAATTAATGTTTTCAATTTGTTAGTAAAATAGTTAAAACTCTTTAAATATTTCTAAAGGATAAAAAGAAGAGAAGTGTATTTTACTAGAAGTTGTACAGTTTCAGGCTTAGAATACATATTTCTTAAACTTAAGCTGTTTTTTGACTATCATACATTAAACTTGCCGTATCTTTTACATTATTTTTATGTAAGTATTATTTTGTCTGTATTGATTTTGAACTAAAAGACTCAATTGTGTATTAGTTAAGTGCGATTTGCATTTATTTTAATAAATATAAAATACTGTAAAATTAAACTGTATTTTTAATCAAACGTGAAAACACGTCAAAACAGTGGAAAACGTAACAAATACGTAATGAGTAACTATGAACTCTTAACCATTTATTTTGGTCACCAAAACATACCACTAAATAAACAGACAGACATTTATATTAGGAATTTGACAGACTTTATATTAGGAACAAATTCCAACCTCAAACAGCTCCTCTCCTGTCTAATCCCTTACGTAACGAACTAACCTAAAAAGACATCGCTGAAAAAAGAATTAAAGAACAAAACTGCAAGGTCAAGATTCAAAAGAATTCCATTTCCTATCAAAGCTCGCGTGCAGAATCGTACATGCTGCCCAGCTAAAGGCCAGTTAGCGTAGCCAAAATATAATCTCTCTCTGATAATAATTTTAACTCAGCAAAGACTGAAACGAAACCCAAAACTTTTGTGCAGACATAAATCACAGCAGCCTGCTCGTAATGATTTAGTATAGTCATTTTCTATATACTTATGTGCGGACATAAATCACAGTAATCGGCATGAATTAATTTTATATAGTAATTTTCTGTATATATTTAATTGTTATGAGATTTTAATTGTTTGCCATATTTTAGATTGCGATAAGGAAATAAAGAAATTACTCAAGTAAATAATAGATTCCGAAGCTGTAAACAATTTTTTATAAGCTATTAATAATTGCAACAAATACAACAAACGTAGGCGTAGAATAGACTATTTGGGCAAAAATAGGACTTTCACTTAGTAGATCAATACTAATTGAAAAAACGTATATATAAAAATAAACAAAAATGTATAAAAAAAAATTTTTAAAAACTGTATAAAATACAATATAACTTTTTTACAGAAAAGTAATTATTTTGCGAACTTACCAGTTTAGTAAATGCGACTCACTAAAAAGGCGATTCCAAAATATATTTGAAGTTCATAGATTTATTGGAGTTTTTCATAGTTAAAATGTTAATAAAAAATGTTTATTTATATACTTTACACTTTTTGCACAAACTATTTAAAAACAAAACATATGGCGCTATAATTTTTTTTGCACTTAAATATATTAACGGCAATTACTGCTCTTTTAGATTAAATGTTTATTTAATACCTTAGTTTTTTACCATTAAACACAATTTTTGTATATTTATAATTTTTTGCACCTAAAATGATTAATGGCATTTGCTGCTCTTTTCTATTATAATTTTTTCTTATTAAAACACTGTTTTCTTTTTTAAATAACACACGCTTTATATTTTTTTTAAACAATTTTTTTGCATACTTTTTAACGAAACACACATTTATTAATTTTTATTTATATGATTTAACTTTAATGGCATTTTCTGCTCTTTTATTAAAACACAATTTTTTCAATTAACACAAATTTTCTTTTAATTATTTGATTAATTTGCACTTTTCTGCACATTTTTTACGAAAAACACTACCACTATATATTTTTTACGAAAGAGACCCATATTTTTTTATTACTTTATTTTCGCTTCAATGGCATTCACTGCTCTTTTCTTATATATTTTCGCTTTATAACTTTACACTTTTCCATTTGAAAAACACCATTATCACACATTTTTCACATTTCTTATTTTATATTTATTTATTTTTTAATGGCACTTACTGCTCTTTTTTATTTTAATTGAAAGAATTACTTACTTTTCTCACTTACTTTATTTATATTTTTTTTACTTTCTTGCTTATTTTACACTTTTTCTAAAGCACATTTTTACAAAAAAAACGCACTTTTTACTATTTTCATTTTAATGGCATTCACTGCTCTTTTATTTATTTATTTTTTTTTTATTAACACACTATATTTTTTAATTTACACATTTTTTATTTATTACTTTATAAAACATTAATTACATTTCTCATTTTACCACTAGCGCTCTTTTATATATTTTTCCTTTCTATACTTATTTCTTTAATCAACACTACCACTATATATTTTTTATGGCACACTATTTGCTTTAAAGATCTTTAACCTTCTTAGTTATATTGGGGCGTATCACTAAAAATCAAAAGTACATTTTACGTCTTCTTAATTCATAATTTTTACGAATTCATATTTATTGCGCTTTTTTGTTAACTTTTCCAACAGTAAACAACTTTAATGGCACCCTTATATCCATACCGTGCATGTTCATGCATGCTCTGATAAACTCGCAGTTACATACCACTGGGATTTCATTTGGCAAATATAACAACGTTTCCGCATGTTTTGCAAATATTCCAACAAATCCAGTTGCACACAAGCACAGTTAACACATTTTAAACAGAAAAGTCCAGCTGCGTTTAAGTAAATCTTTATAATTTAATAATTTGATAATGCAGCAAATTGCAAGCGATTTCCAACGAGTAACGGAAGAACTGAAAAGGAGAGAAACAAGATGGTGAGTGTGACAGAGTTGCAATATATCCCGATTAGCATTTTTTGCCTTTTCAAATTTCTAGAACAGTGCTGCCAAACATTCGTACGGATATTAAGTAAAATGCTCGTTGCAAGTAAAACTTGTGTATATGTATGTGCATACATACATACACATCCGAGTATAAGAATATGCAGACAAATGACAATAGTCCTGTATTTCTAATTGAAGGAGAAATAATAAATAATATACTGAACATTTTAACTAAATAAGTTTAACGATATTTTTCTTATTTCGGAACTATTATAGAAAATTTCTTGCAAGCTTACCAAATATTTTATTATTATTACATACATACATACATATATTATTTTTGAACACAAGTTTACAATTTCTTCGCAACTATATTATATATGTAAACATGCGTATACATATAAGTGTTAAATATATTTTGATCAAAAACTCGTATAAAAATACCCCATAATGTTAAAAACTTGCTCAGAGTGATTTATAATTATTTTTCAATTAAATTCTACAAATTATTAAACAAGATAGTTCAAAGCATTTTAAGTCGTTTATTAAACCGAAATTGTCTGGTATTAGTTTTCATTTAATATTAAAATTATATTAATGATTATAAAAATGTTTATCAAATTGTTTATATATTCTTTAATTACTAATTCGATAACCAAAATCAATTACACTTGTCCTACCACACAAATAAAAGCGACTTTGCAACACTTTCGACGCCATCACTGTGTACCGCCGCCGCTCGTGTTAAAACAGTTCACTCTTATTTGCTTTTAATAAGTGAATTTCTGCATATGTAACATTGACTTCATAAAATATAAGCACTACTGAACACATTTAGCAAAAAGTTGTAGTAAAATGTTTAATTAAACTAAATGAAAACTCACTTTTAACAAAACGTAGTCAAGACGCTGCTGCAATCGCGCGATGTCAAACGATTAACTGTGGCCTAGCGAAGGTGCAATAAATAAGCAATAACGAACTGACAGACAGTGTTGCCAATAAATATCGTTTTCTGTAGTGTCTTTCTTCCGCTGGCATTTCAAATAATAGTGGAAGTAGCGATAAATGACTTTTGCTCTTCCGTTCTACACACGTACACACATGTATGGACATGCACACAAGCAAGTGTGACAACAGTGGTTTGTTTACATTTATGCACTGGCGTAATAGATATGACATAAGTTACAATTCACAGCTTCCTATTTACCTATCCATATTTTTATCGTTCAAATACATACATATATAGCAAGTATGATTTGTTGTTTTTGTTGAAATAATATTTTACATAAATGCTTAAAGGAAGTGTGTTCAGTTAAAGTGCTGTTGCATTCAATTACGACACGCGTGTGTGATAATTTATGAGTTCCTTCAATTGAAATGTGCAAAAAAGAAAATTTAAGTGAAATTCTACAATTGCCCAGCTCTTGTGCGATAAAAATAGCGCGCACAATGCATAGTAATCAAAATGGAAACAATTAATTATCTAATATTGGAAAAAGAACAGCAAATACATTGTCAGGGACACGTCTGCCGTCAAGAGAAACTGGATTGTGACGGAAATTGTTACGAAACTTAATGAGATGAATGAATAATAGCTTGAGCTGCGTAAGAGATTGGGAAGCGAATTTTTTAAATAGTGTGATAGTGAAATGCTAGGTGACAAGTTGCGGGCAGCTAATTGAGGTTAAGTTGATTTGCCATGAGATTTTTCGTTATAATTGTACTTAAATTGCTTTAATATCACACATTTAGTATATGAAAATAGTGCTTAGTGCTATTGTACGGCGCTTCAAACATCCTAATAACTTTTCCGCGCCGTTTCACATCAGTATGATTTATTGCCCTACAAATATATGTATGTGCTTATCACTAATTGATCCTTATTTTTCACGACGACGAATGATAGGTCTTTTATACAATTTGAAGAACAGCTCAGTGAATTCTAAACACTACTTGCAGCTTTGAAGGATATTTTGAGGAGTTAAAATATATAATATTTTTAAGCAAAGTTTTAGCATGATTAAGATTCTCCGTTCATTAATATAAATTATAAACAAAATGGACCACCAGTCTTAATAATGCCCTAATTTGTCTACGTCAGTAACTTTGATAACACATATTGATGTACATATGTATACTAATACTTGTAAGAAGCTTTGAGACAAGTGGGCGTTGTCGCAAAGGCGAAATTTTCGGGTTTTTTGATCGCCACTTATTTATATATTGATATTCAATGCTCAAGGGAAGTGAAGGTGTTGTTGTCGAAGATCTGTAAGCTGATAACAAATGGAAAAAACATTAAATTTTGAAGACACTTAACATTTATATAAAAAAAATCAAAACGAGATGCTATGTATGTATGGGAATAGGTGTGTGTTTTCAACTACGAACTAAAGTACTTTAGTGATAAACTTATCAAAACAGCGCAGATTATCAAATAATTGGAAAATACTCGCAACTGTTTATAATATATGTATGCATGATTGTATAATTATACTAGCACAAATGCACATATTTACTAGCTTGACGCATGTAAACAAGGTATCGC